GAATCTCCGGAGGCAGGTTATTCCAGAGGCGAGGAGCCACCGCCGAGAAGGCCCGGTTTCTAGTTCTTTCATTCCGGGCCTCCCTCAGCGTCAGGCTCCTCATCCTCACCTCCTGGCTTGCGCGGGTGACACGGGTAGAACTAGGTGGGAGTAAGCGTTCCGCCAAGTATCGAGGTCCTAAACCGTTTAGGGCTTTATACGTAAGCATCAGAACTTTAAAGTCAACGTGGAACCGAATGGGCAGCCAATGCAGTGCGGCCAAAATAGGAGAAATATGATCGAATTTTCTCACTCCGCTAAGGAGTCGGGCCGCTGCATTCTGCAGCACTTGGAGTTTCCACGTCAACTTCAAAGGTAGCCCCACGTAGAGTGCGTTATATATATATATATCTTTGGTCATCTGAAGTTTGCTTCAGAAACTTCAGTATACTCCAGTGGGGAGACACTATCAGGATGCTTGGGACATCAACTCTCAGAAGATCCAACCAACCCTGGCAATGGGAAGAGATTGTGGGTGAGGGAGTCCAAAATATCTGGAGGAACAAAGGAACTCCACCCCTGCTGCACTCCAACTTTGTTTCTGTGGTTTGGGGAAGATGGCAAAATACAGAAAGTTCCTCGTGCTTCTATCGGGCTGCTGAACAAGCTTCATTCTGCTTTGTAGGTCACACATTATACTAGGGTTCATTTAAAACTAAGATCAGAAGAGTTGAAACTGAGTGTAATCTGAAGGCTACATTTATCTGGGAAGCTGCTAAAAGTACAATTGAGACCTTTTCCTTCTTTTAAAGCCAGTTACAAAATTGGAGACTGTAACGTCAAAATTTGCTTTTCCTTTTCCTATTGCACAGCAGATGACTGCATATACTCACCTTTTCTCCTTTGTAGCCAGGATCACCCTTGAGTCCCGGGAGCCCAGTTGGACCCTAAAACAACAAGAAGAACTGCATTAAGAGATCCTATGGGATTGTAGTCACAGGCCATTATCCAAGTTTCACAGAAGTCGTAGGATTTCTGATTATTCAACCTAGAAGTTGGGAAAAGGTGGAGCTACAGATGTTGCTGGACAACTGCTGCCATCAGCCTAATTAATATGGGATTTGCATTCAACATCTTCTCAGACCTGATTTAGCCCAATTTACCTTCATTCACCCATGCATATCTCTGTCTGCTACTTCAGATGACACTGCTTGAATGTCTTCGGAATTTAATGTTTGATGACCATTTCATATGTGCCTCATTTCAAGATTGACAATCACTGTGTGAATTCAGCTTGAATCAGTCCTGTGCTCTTGACTTAGGAACTGCTTATTGACTCTGAATGAGTAGCGGTTTCTCTCCATTATCTTTTGGACACACATGAGTGCACAGTGATCATACCCTTTGAAACATCATTTGGGGAACTTATTCTGTTGCTCTGCTGGTTTTCCTTCAACACTTCCAGGAAGATGTCTCCAGTAAGACTGCTCCACACTAAATAAATGGTCACGCTCAACCCACTCCAAATTACAATAAATAGGGAGGAAAACTGGAAAGCTGCAAGCTTGGAAGAGGAGCAACTCATAAGGAAACGATGACTGGATCAGAAATTGTCTGATAGTGCCACACAAGGGTTGTGGTTTTGTGTTGCCTCCCACTCACCATTGGTCCTGGAGGCCCTGCTTGACCAGGTGCTCCAAGCAGACCTTGTTCCCCCTATGGAAGAAAGGGAATATGAACTTAGAGACAACAGAATTTGGCATCTTGGGGTGAATGGTTGTTAAACATCTCAAAGTAAAAATGGGTGTGGACTTTTGCCAGAGGGAATATGAATATAAAAAGCACAAATATTCAGTTAATACAGGATACAAGTATGCATAACAACAAGGATGGATACATCAGCCTATTTCCAGTCCCTGTTAGAGTCAGAGGATCTCACTCAGAAGCAGTGGTGTAATGGAGCCAGGAATGCTGGGTCAAAGCACAGGAAATTTGTAGGATTAGCATGGATGATGTTATCTGCCACAAACCTCTCCACCACCACCACCACCCCACTTCTCTGGCTGCTCTGAGTTTACCTGTAATCCTCAGATTATTTAGGAAGGGAAGTAGATTTTCTAGCAATAGTCGTTTCTCCCTAATGTTGGTGAAACTAACTTCTGGAAAAACTTAAGGTGAGAGTCTTCTGCTGTTTGGTGGCCTGACCTTCTAGTGAACCTCAGATTTCTCCAGATAAAGTCCAACATGAGCTGTCCTTTGACAGCTTGGTGCATGATCTGATCACAATAACTAAGTGCTGTGCTATGTGCCATTGTCCTTAGACACCTTTATGACAGAGATTGGCATAACCGTCCCCCGTTTTTGACTTCTTTGGGAGAGCGGCTATGGAAACTTTCATGATGGACTTCACGCTCCCAACACTTACAACATCATCTGCCTGTAAGTCCATTCCATCCTGCTTCTGCATTTTTAAAATCCTCTGAAAATGTGGTTGTGTTTATTTATATAAGTGCATAAACATAACTGTAATCTCAAAAATACTCATTTGTCATCAAAGTATTCTGATAGTATTTGAGCTGTAGATCTTTGTCAGTCTCCTCTTTGCAAGCAAGGAGTAATCACAGAATCACAGAGTTGGAAGGGGCTTTATAAGGCCATTGAGTTCAACCCCCTGCCCAAAGCAGGAATCCAAATCAAAGCAGATCTGACAGATAGTTGTCCACTTTTCTCTTGAATGCCTCCACCTCCTGAGGCAATTGGTTCCGTTGCCGTACTGCTTTAACAGTTAAGATGTTTTTTTCTGATATTCAGGCTTAATCTGGCTTCCGGTAGATTGAATCCATTATTAAATGTCCTGCATTATGGGCTGATCCTGCCCCTCCTCTGTATGATGAGCTTTATTATTTGAAAAGTGCTATTCTATCTCCCCTTGGTCTTCTTTTCTCAAAGCTAAACATGGCCAGTTCTTTCAGTTTCTCTTCATAGGGCTTGGTTTCCCAGTCCCCTGATCAGGAAAAGTATGTTGGATGAAGTGGGGAAGGCTTGCATATAACAACATCCTGACCTGCAGAACATGAGTCCCAGAGGTGCTGCTTGGGTCAATTTGTTCTGGAAGTTTCAAAGCATTTCTCATTAAAGCACACACAAATATCTGTAAATAGGATATAATCTAGAGCACATGCACATGGAATGCATGTGTAAGGAATCTCCAGGCACAGCTGGAGCTTTTCTTGTCCCTTTTCCCTGCTTCAGCTCCTTCAGCCGACAATACAAGAAGTTTTTTTTTAAAAAAACCCAACGTGCTGCACCCTCTCTTCCTTGCACAGCAGCAGTGCTCCTGAATCAGAGTCATGTGGTCCAAAGGGGATGTAACAAATTTTCTGGGGCCTGAACATTGAGACAAAAAGCCAGGTTCTTTCTAGAGCCTCTCTGGGCATTCTGTGCTTTGCCCACACTCTCTTAGTACAAGGTGATATTTTCTCATATTTAAAAACCTAACCTCATATTCTAGCATTTCATAACCCATTGCTTCGCTTCTTCTCTTAAATAGAGATTCTGGAGAATATAGGTGCCCACCATCTTTGCAACATCATTTCATGCATACCGACAGAGCTTGGAAAAGTGATTTAAAAAAAAAAAACAATTCCCAGAATATTCCAGCTTGTATAGCTGGTTCGGAGATTCTGGGAACTGTAGTCCAATGATGTAACTTTTCCAAACTTTGCCTATAAAGAGTGCCAGTCCTCCACAACCCAGCAGATCCACTTAGCTTCAGTACATGTTCCTGAACTGAAATTAGGTCACACTGAGAGGCAGCCCATCTTCCACCCATCTCTCCTCTATCTATTGATGAAAGAGTAATGGCGCTCACTGCTGGGCCAGGAATGCCACGTAGTCCTTCTGAGCCAGGGCGGCCTGGAGGTCCTTGTGGGCCCATGGGCCCCATTTTCCCAAGAGGTCCTTCTGTGCCAGGTTCTCCCTAAAGATAAAGTATGGGAGAGAGAATGAGAATGGATAACTTACAGTAGGTTTGTTCAATTAATCCAGTATACTAAGGGTCTCAGCTAAGACTGTCTGATTCATGTTTGTAATAGATATGCACATAGTCCAACTGAGGTATTCGCTGTATTCACTGGAGGGAACAGTATAGTCCTTTCTCTCTCTCTCTCTCTCTCTCTCTCTCATCTGAAGCACAATAGTATGGATAAGGACCACATCTTCTATTCATGCAGTGGGGATCTAAACTCTTCCTTGTCTCATCCTTGTAGGGACAGATGAGGAACTGTACCTTTTTGTTTATTGCCATATGAAATATTTTCTGTTGGATGGTTTAATGAAAAATACATAACTCGAGAAAACTGTATAACTTTTGCAAATTGCACAAACTGCAACAGCTGCTGCTGCTTTGTTTCATGGACTTTTAAACATTTAAAGCATTGGATGGGTTCTTGGCATCTTTTTCACTCTCACTCTCTTCTTCTAGCTCTGCTTTGCTTCTTAAAGGGAAATTACACTAATTTTCCCCAGGGCAACCCAGAGGCAGTTTTCAGAAACGGCAAAACAAAACAAAAAGAAAAACAAACAGAGGAATTTCTATACCACCCATCTGGCATCCCAGGTCACTCAGAAACAAACAAAACAAACAAACAAACAAACAAACAAAACCCTAAAGGGTGAAAACCACTTTTTTCTTGTGCTGGAAGTGCTGAATCTTGTGGCTCTTGAAGATTCCTTGCTCAGATATTTTGTCAATGTTGTGAATGGCCAAAGTCAACAAGACCAATTAAATTAGTAGTATTGGTTGTAACCCTTCCAAGCAGCAGTTGGAAACTTTGGTTTTTCCAGGCTTGTGGCTTACAGGAAGTCTCCACATGTAACAGAGGGCTTCCTTTTCAAAGTGCTGCTGTCCACATGATCCATAACTGAGGGAACAGCTGGCTTCCTCTCCTTGCATGTTCAGGCTAACATGCTTCTGAATGGCTAAATAGATACCTGTCCACATGATCCATAACTGAGGGAACAGAGCTAGCTGGCTTCCTCTCCTTGCACGTTCAGGCTAACATGTTTCTGAATGGCTAAATAGATACTTATGGTCCCACACAAAAGAAGGTAACTATGAGGATAGAAACTTAAGCAGAAAAGTGTTACTTAGCCTGTGGTGTAGATGTTTGTACTTCTTAGTGGGAGATTTTTCATGGGTGGGGAGTGTTTGGGGAATTTTAATGTATGTGCATGTTGGTCTGGTCTCTGGGTGCCTGTGTGAATTTCGTTGTGTGGGTATACCATGTACATACTTACAATGACAATTAAATTATTTGAATTGAATTGGTACTTCTTCAGTCAAGGTGTGGGGGGTATTATCAGAGCCTAGAAATAATGTTTTAGCTTTAGCATATTAAGGGGGGAAAATCACTGTTTTTGTGTCAACAGGAGGACAAGCAAACTGACACATCTAAGCTGTTGAAAATAACAACCAGGATCCTGTTATGTATGACCACTAGTGTAAGTGCAACACACGTTTGTTTCATCACATAGTAGTCATGTTGATTAAGCACATGACCATCACAACAAAAGAGCCAACTTCTTATCCGGTGGAAGTTCATTGCTGAAAAGTATACTGTTGGAATTACACAGGCATAAACACACAATAGGATCCCTAACATAATATTAATGATAATGTATCAACAGGAGTACATGATTTCCAAGCTCTGGAAATTACCCATTGCAGGATGACTTTATTCTACTGAGGGAGAATGCTGATATTGAAAATGTGGGAATACACAACAGAAGAAGCTAGAAGTAGCTGATTCAGCGGGCATGCAAGTTTTTAACAATTCATTATCAGTCACCAAAATAAGGGTTGTTTGTTCTCCCATACCTTGGCTCCCTTCTCGCCCTGTCGACCTTCACGTCCAAGCGGCCCAAGTGGTCCCTTGAACAGAGAAAGAAAATCACGTGAACAAAGAGAACCACTGCATAACACAGTTTAATTAGGATTTTGTGATTTAAACTTCTGGCTACCTTCTACAGAAAGACTGTATCCTTAATCATGTTCACAGTTTTATTAAGTAAATAGATGCAATATTGCTCCAGCAATAAACTCTTATAAAAATTAAATATGTTATCTATTACAAACAACAACAAAAAGGATGGGACCAATTAGACATCATGTAAATCTTTGCAGAAAAACACAGCGCAGGCAGAAATCTTTGCAGAAGCACCACCCCCAGGGAATAGACGCAGTAATATCATTAGAACAAACACAACAATAAAAGATCTCCAAGTTCTTCCAAAAGTACAAAGGCTGGCACAAATACTGAACATTCCCCATAATATAAACAAGGATGTGGGAAGCCAAAAGAACTTTCTTAGTTTTAGCCAAATCAGTTCGGTAATTGCTACTGAACAAAAGCAAAATCTTGTTTTACAAACAGAATCTGCCTTTGAGCAGGACAACTCTTTGGGGCTGGAAGAAATGTGTTTTTTCTTCACCATATGTCAAGTAGCAAAAGAAATTAAAAGCACTTCCACATGGGACATTTCTCCTAAAAATTCCTGCTACTACACTGATACTATCAGTATTCTTCCCACCAGCCACATGACGTTCCTCTTATTTTGATTCATGCAGTGCTTTTCCCATGGCTTTCTGCTCCTTTTTATCCCTTCTCAAAGCATAGTTTATTCCTAGTATTATTTGGTGTTGGATGGCGTTTGCTCCCAGTTTTCAGTTGATGTCCAAGGCAGCTCCTACAGTGATATGATCAGTATTTTTCCCACCATCTACATGACGTTCCTCTTTTATTGGTTCATATAGTACTTTTCACATGACTTTCTCCTTCTGTTTGTTCCTTCTCAAAGCATACTCTATTTCTAGTATCACTTGGTATTAAGTGGGGTTCACTTCCAGTTTGCAGTTGATATCCAGGGCAGGAGACTCTGGTTGGAATTTTTCAATTACCATTCAAAGGAAAGAAAAAGAAAAAAGGGAACAGTGGAGCAGTAGCAGTAAAAGTTGTTCCCACAGGGAAATACATTTCTTAAAACCTTCTTAAACATTTCTTAAATAGAAGCATATTTCTTAAGAAGAAGTTTTTTTTAAGAGACATTTAGACACAATCCCTCTTATCCCCCTGTGCTCTTTCAGCACCAAGCAAGAGAAAGGGGAGTACGAAAAAATGGTTCTTTCTCTGGAAAAGCACAAAGTAAAGGCTTCATATGTTCAGTCTTGCCTAATCATCATGGACAAAAAAGCAAGTCACATGCCATTTTGAAATGAAAAGTGTAATGTTCTTTGATGAAATCAGGGACCTTCAAAGGGTGGTGAAAATTACGAAAGTAATCCTCATTTTGATCGTGTTATAGTGAATGAAACAAAAGGGAAACTCTGAACCAATGTATCATGTGCACAACCCGCTAGTAACAAACACTAGATAAAGAGGAAGTGTTGAAAGAGATTACTGAGGATCAGGGCTAGAACTAAAGAAGCTCCTTTTGGGAGTATAGCTGCTGGAATCCTCCAGCCAGCATGGCTGATTAGGGGATTCTGGGAGATGTAACCCAAAAAGTAACTTTTGCATGCTATGACCTGGGGTCATTCCCAGTTTGGATCAGTGATCTGTCTGAGCAAGATTTGAGACTCTGCATGAAACATACAGCTTTATTAGCATAAGCCCAACTTCTCAGATTGCTGTATGATATGAAAAGTTTGGGTTGATCAGTGTGATGTTGTGGATAGAATGATGGACTAGAGTTTGAATCCCTGCTCAGCCATGGAAATTCCTGGGGAGGGTGGAGGCCTGGTCAAGCCACTCCCTAAGTATCTCACTTGCCTCGCCCGCAATACTTAACTAATATAACAACATTTAAAGGGAGAAATGCCTTCACAGCTTTACTTTGCCACTCTATGAGTTCTGCAGGGCTTGAGGGATGTTATCAATGGACTCCCTTGGAGAAGAGAGTTTGTCTATGTGGAACTAATGCAGTTGAATATTAGATTGTCACTCAGACAATGCATTGTCTGCCCAATTTATAAAGACTTGAGAGTAATTCTGTTCAAAGAGTTAGGTCTTGCATCTAATAGATCTGAAGCATATCCGGGAGATGAGGAAAGAGTGAAATTCACTAAGGCATCAGCTTAGCAAGTGGAGGCACTTCAGCGAGCTTCGTTCCCCATGAGCCCCAGCACCAGCTGGACTTTTCCGCACAAAGCAA